AAATCTTTTTCGCAAACTCTTTTATTTAACAGGAGAAAATAAAATATTCGCAAAGAATTAAAACAGCAATTTATGCAATCGATTGTCATTGTCACATGTTCCACGTATAATTCCCTGTGCAATTATTGTACAACATACATCGTCGTATCTCTTACAATTAGTATAATGTGTGCTAACATGTAGCTCCCCTTTCCACAGACACGACATCGAAACCATCGCCCCTTCGGCAGCGATCGACGAGTGTCTTGTATGCTCCGATGGCAAACGAGAGATGCTGTTCAGTCCCTGTGGACACGTGGCTTGTTGTAACGCTTGTGCACCAAGGGTGAAGAAATGTCTGATTTGTCGTGAGAACGTTCTTTCTCGAGTAAAGGTAAAATATCTCCGACGTTATTGTTCGTATATCTTCTATTATTAGATATACGATATTATTTTTATTTTCAAAATTTATTTGTTTATCGAACAGTAATTAATTTTACACTAATACTAGATTTATCAATTCTTTTATCAATTGTGTTTTAATAATGTTTTTAATAATATAATTACATATATATTTTTTACATTTTTTTTTCTTCGATGATTCTATAAATTTTTCCTTTAAAATGTGAACTCTTTTCTATAAAAGAAAAATCCATTTTATTGTTATGTATAACCATAATAGATTTATACATTTATGCAAATATCTCTCCAGTAATTTTAATTTAATTTTCTGCAAGCCACTAAAGTTCTAATCATGTAATAAATTACTCTTTCATCCTTGTCGATTCGACTTGGTACATCACGCTGCACTATTGCTACGTAGGCCAATAATTGATCGAATAGTCCCATTCTGTTCTGGAATAGATCTTCGAAACTCTAAACACGCGTTCTATCAATCTCCGGCCTTCACACAATAATGGACGTTTGTTCTCAGATCGAAGAATGCGTAGTGTGTTCGGATCGCAAAGCGGGCGTGCTGTTTCACCCGTGCGGCCACATGTGTGCCTGCGAGAGCTGTGCGGCCCTGATGAAGAAGTGCGTGCAATGCCGGGCCCAAATACAGCACATGGTACCGCTCTCGGTCTGCTGTGGCGGCGGTGGTGATGTCACCTACGTGAAAGGGTGCAACGCCTCAGGTATTAACATTTATTTTGCACACTGCGCGCCGTTTCACAACTTCTCGTGGTCTATCTCGACCTATCTAATCGTATGGAATATATTAAACTGCTCCCACGTAACGATTAGATAGCTCGCCTCTAATCTTGTCTAAAATAAAAGTATACCGGATTGTTCTCAGACTATACTATTTGCATGGTTTGCGCGTGCATTTTTTTGCCTTTTAATAACTGATATAATGAACGATCGATAATAATGTTCGCGATAAATTGGAATGAAGAATTTAAAACGTAGTCGCAATAGTATTCTAACTATTTTACGTATATTTTTAATACTTTGAATTATTAAATGTATCAATACATAAATTTTAAACAAATGTATCAAATATTTCTTTATTTTTGCTAACGTTACATAATGCAAACTTCTTGATGTTTATGTATTTAATGCACTACTTTATATATATATGTTAATTCTTTCTAGTTGAAACATTCATTTTATTATTGATAAATAATGTTAATTTACGAGTAAAAATATAAATTGTAATAAATGAGAGCATCTCTAAGCGATGCTGTTGTTGTCAAGAAATTGGCGAGACTTTTTCTTCTTTCTTTATTTTTTTTTTTTAACCGACTGTTATGCTTCGAAGGAACAATATCCGAAGTCAAGGTGGATCTCGAGGAGGAATCGACGCCCTCAAACAACACCGGAGCTGGAGAAGCTCTCCTAATGAACAACGGCAGCCGAGATACTTCCCACAGCGACATACAAAAACTACAGCAGCAATTGCAGGACATCAAGGAGCAGGTACGTGTCCCTTCTGCGTCTCGCTTCGTTATGCGTCGCTTTAATGAAACGAATAATTTAATTTGTGTCGAAGAAAGAAGTCCGTACCGCGCTGGTACAATTACCTTTCTTTCTTGAAAAAGCAGAATACGTTTTCCCGGACTATCTCAATGTCTTCTTGTTGAGTATCACAACAACTCTCTTCTTAGTTTTTAATTTATTTATTCAAGAAAAATTGAAGAAATTAGGTCATAAATGATTTTTAGAAGAATTTTGATTAGAAGAAATTCAATTTTTTTTATTCAAAACTCTGAATATGGGACTTTAGAAAATTTTAAAAGTGTTTATGTATTTAAAAATGTTAAATATATTATATTTAAAAACAAAAGATATATGAAAATATATTGAATATATATAAATATGGACTTAAAATTGGAGGAAACCTCTGAAATCACTATCTGTGTAATAATAAAGATTAAATTAATTGATTTACTCATGACGGGTGACAGAATTTGGAACATTATACGGAATTTGTGAGTTTCTTTTATTGTTGCAGACCATGTGTCCAGTTTGTCTGGATCGTCTGAAAAACATGATCTTCCTGTGCGGACACGGCACCTGCCAAATGTGCGGCGACCGGATGTCAGAGTGTCCAATATGTCGCAAGGCGGTAGACAAACGTATTCTGCTCTACTAAAAATAAAAGACTGTCACCAGCTGCATTGCGCATTGAAATATTTCTAAGGTGATTATATGTGATGGTATAACAGTCGAATTATTCACAAGGATCCACGATATTTTGCGAGAGGAAACATTTCCTCTTACGCCCCGTTTATTTCTGACAACAGCATTACGTCAAGCTGAATCATAGGGCAACGTTTGTCATGAAATAAAAAATTATAATATTAAATGGTATAACAATGAAAAATAATAAAGATATTAAATGGCGCTCTTCGAGCTACAGTGGTTTATAAATAAAAATGTAAGTTATTTAATAGATAAACGACCGCGATAAGTGTAGGTACGCACAATTATTATTTATTATTTATATTTTTAATAAGAAAACCTCGTTACATGATAGATATTATGCTGTTAAAGTTGCGTTTCATGCATAGTTATATGATTATCGATATACACAAGTATAACATATTTCTAGTAAGCTTCCTACAAAAAACCTTTATTTACCATTTATCTGTCTTTCTGTTTTGTTCTGGATTAAAAATTCAGAAAACGCTCAGTAAACATCATAAAGTTCTTCCGAATATATATTATCAATAGGAATAATAGTTTTATATCCATCATGAATAATTTCCAAATAGTTTGCCAAAATTAATAATAAATAGAATATTATATTTCAATCGTTTGATTTTTCAAAGCATTAAAATAAAAGCTATTATAACATGATTCATCGTTGTTAATTAGTTGATCTGCTAATATATGTTATTTACAAAGTTACATAAATTGGTAAAAATATTTTGCATTATGATGCATTGGCATATCTATGTCGGTAAAATAATGAAGCCGATTTTTTTTCTTAAATTTGAAGATTTATATATTAATTATTTTCTCGGACGCGCGCGCGCGGCGCGTAATAATTATATTAATTGACATAAAATTTATATTAGTTATATTTTTGAAATTTTAATATTTTAAGACTAAACGGTTCTTTTAATATAAGTTTCATATTTGAGATGTAGTAAATAAAATATACATATATATATATATATATTTATATGTATGTGTGTGGAAGATACATATGAGATATATGTATATTATTATTTATTATTTTATATGTTTATATGTTTATAAAATAGATAACAAATTTGGATAAACTTCTGAAAATGGCCAACGCCCGATTATCATGAAACTTGGCAGAAATACTCTAAAAGACGTTAAATGAATGTTCTTAAAAAGATTATCACCGACAAGAAAGTTTAGTGCCAAAAATGTTTGAATAAAGTTGCAGAAATAAAACATTATTCTTTACACTTTTAGACTTTCAACGTAAAGCGATTTTTCTCAAAAAAAGTTTAAAGAATGATGTTTTATTTCTACGTTGTAAAGTGTATACGTGGATACAGCGAGTTCCGCCCCACGAGCAACAGTACAATTATAGAAGTCGTATGCATAGACACACACACACATATGCATACGCACATGCAAAACTTCATTCAAACATTTTTGGCATTAAACTTTCTTGTCGGTGAAAATCCTTTTAAGGGTATTCATTTGACGTCATTTGGAGTATTTCTGCCAAGTTTCATGATAATCGGGCGTTGGCCACTTTCGAAAGTTCACCCACACATTTTAACAAATATATTCCAGAAATATTAACTTTATTCTGAAAGTAGATTTATCATCGATGATTATATTGTATATCTATCATGATATTTGAATTTAAAGATTAAATTATCAACTTTTCTTCTTTACGTCATTTTCAATGCATTTTGTATATATATTTCTTGTAACAGCATTTTTGTGTATACACAATAATTAATTAATTAATGAATGAAAGTTTTATCTTATTTGATTTTTATTATCATTGTGTTCAATTATTTAAAGATTAGCCACAAAAATTAATAGTATCGGCATATATTACGACGATTAATGAGTTATAATCTTAGACGAAGAGTATAAAGTAAAAATGAATATAAAATGGTATTAGTTATATTTGAAGGCCATTCCTATTTTGACAGTATTTTTATATATTGTATTACTGTCTTTCTTAGGTTTTATTTCAATACATATAATCATTGTACGATAACAAATATGTAATATGAATTATACGATATTATAAATAAAGATGTAAATGACAACTGCCTGAGCTGCGATAATTGTATCGTAAATATATTCTATACAGCGAAAATTATATTATTCCATTATTCATTGCTTTTTGATGTACTTTATCTAGTATAATGAAATCACAAGGAATGTTGTATATATATAAATAAACTTAATACAAATTCCTTTATTATCGCTTAATAGAATTGTAACTAAATTGTACGGTAAATTGTTGCTCGAATTAAAAATAAGTATGAGAGACGAGATATACGAAAAATTATTTATTTTCATTAAGAATTTGAATTTCATATTCATATACATAAAGTCACATTTAGTTGTTAATTGAATGTACAATGTCTCTGTGTTCATCTGTTTTTACTTGAATAATATACCTTTCTTCAGTTTTCTTTAGTTGAATAATATAGGTACTCGACTAAAACTCTACAAGGTGTCGAATTTACACGCGCGATTTGGACATCTATTCCCCAGTCTCGTACCATTAGCTATCCTTAAATCTGAGGACTGCAACGTGTCTTCCGTTAAAAGGATTCTTCCATTTTATTTTATGCACAATTCGTATGAAAGACTGTCTCACGCATTCGCACAACATTTTCGCAGCGCTAACCGGCACTTACATTGTTAAAATTAAACCGAATGCAAAGTAACTAGTAATCATGAAGACTATCTCGTAAAGAAAAATGATAATAACATAAAAAAAGAGTATTTATTTATGAAGAAGAGACGAAGATGTGCATTCATATGTAAATATAGAATGATAAAAAAGAAACCGCGCATCCATACACGGGGGTTGCTAAATAATTTACTATGATCACATATGATCAGGCGCTAGGACAACATGTGCGTAAGCATATATATTTCAGTATTATATTAAATATTTTAATTACATTAATTTAATAGCTTTCTAATTGTACTCTGCTTCGTTACTGATATTTAGTCAATTATGACATTCACTGTCGCAGAGTTGCAAGACAGATTATATATTTTTTTTCCTTCATTGCGATGTGATCGGGTTAAATTATTATTGATTAGAGCTAAATTTTACTTCTTCGCAACCCATTTTATCATTATATTATGATCTTTCCCATTTATAACGAGTGGGCTATAAGATATTTCAAATTTGTGTTTGAGTTCTGTTTAATGGCAACGAAGCTTCGACTATTATTTTCATTGTATCAATGGGCCACGAAGAAAAACGCTATCTTTAACATTCAGACGAGGAGTTTAGGTTGGGTGGAGAAAGTTTCTTGGTCCGAGTGAGACGATCTAACTCCGCCACTGCATCGTTACATATCGTTGCCTTGTCCACCGGTGTAGCATCTGAGATATGAAATGTCCCTTCTAATACAATTTTATTGCAAATAGATATTATTTCTAGAAACTAAATGTTCGGACTCTAGTTATTACATACCAAGTTTCATGGGACTCGTCCCTACGTTGCCCGGCGTTCCTGGGGAACCGGGCTGCACTCCAGTCTTCTTATAAAGAAGAGAATTAAAGAAATTAGCTAAAACACCTTCACCAGAGGGTGTTGCACCGCTACCCTTGGGATCCAGCTTCTTATTTGGTGACGCCACCTATTCACAAAACATTAGGGCTTGTCCGTTGTCGAGAAAAGGAATTTACTATTCGTAATGGACAGATCATACCACATAGATTAGAACATGCTTTCAAATGTTAACTGCAATAACCACACGAGGTGATGGCTGGAATTAAAATTATGTGACGTGTTAAAAACGATGGCAGTTGTACAATGATCTATTGGAAACTTTTGTACATGATTTACCGGCCATGATTTATCGGCTTACATTATCGTATGTTAAATAAAAATGACTTTGCACGTGATGAAGTATTATGTCGCTACATTAATGTACTGCAACTACATTTTCATTCTATTAAATGAATTATTAAGACACATTAAGCAGGTTTTCTAAAAGGCATAAGCTCACTATACACGAAGGACAAAAATACATTTACTTTTAACATTACGTAAATAAATCAGTTGTACGGATGAACGAAACAGTTATATGTCAATTACACTGCATAATGAATGAAACAATCGACACAAATGTACATCAAGTTACAGACTCGATAATCCTATATTGAATATAACGGATGAGATTAATAAATCACTCGCATGATTTATAGTGATGACAAAATTAATGACAATATTGTGGTTCCTTAATTTGACACACAACATGAAAAGCATGCTCTGTTTATAAATGGTATAACCTGTATAACTGGTCCAGGGCTTGCCTGATTCCGAGTTGTAGGAGACCGAGTGGGATCTTTCAAGCCCGACAGAGCTGCTTGCTGTCGCGCGAGGAAAGCTTGCTCTTCTTCCGCCTGAATTTCCATTTCTCTAGCAACGCACTACATATAATAGTATCAATAGATTAAATATTTAGCTAGTAAATTAACATTATATCAGAAAAGTTGTATGTGTTAGGAATATAAAGCAGTAATACGAAGCAATACTACATCATACTTTTCGATTCGTTGCTGGCTGTGCAATAACATCACGATAGTAATCGTTCGCCTTCATGGATTGTAAATTCTCATGCAAAATACTGATCTTCTTCATGTTATCCCAACCAGCAGGTCTGTAATGTATGATACAAATAATTTTAAAATATGCACACATGAAAAAAATTTTTTCAGTCGTGTCAAATATGTTCTTACATAAGTACTGCATCTTTTTCGACGACCAATGCCGGTGTTCTGAATGGTAAAGAGTAAATCCTATGTGTTAAATATTTATAAAGCAAATCACAGTTCTTATCCTCCTTTGCCGACGTGTAGAAGAGACCTGCACCATATTGTAAGCAAAACCGCCTAATCCATTGTTGCATAAAGTCAAAATGCTCATCTCTATAAAAAAAAAAAAGAAGCAATCACACGAGATTAATATTTGCTGATTGGTGTTACTACGAATACTTTATTCATTCGTATACTCACTTATAGTCTTGTTCTTTTTCGAGAGTAGACATATAATCAGTTTTCGTTATGACTACGACAACGTCTAGGCCCAAATTAGTTGTAAGTACTCCTTCCGGCAAGGGTAATCCCTCGGCGGTGTCGTCATCCAGATTTCGACTGGTACGTCGCAGAGGACTCCCAGGATCTAATTCGTCTCCTGGTTCGGTATAGTCCTGCCACTTCTTAATATCTAACAGAATAAAATCGTACATACTGTACATATAACAATGTTACGTTTTTCAAGAAATTTAAAATTTACTTTCTATTAGCGCACATCGCGAATCTTATACTTCAATCATTAAAGAACTAAAGTGGCAAACATAATAACAATCAAAGCAAAAAGTGATATCTGTATTAATAATGTTCGAGCAATGGTGTATTGCTATATATTATATTTTTATGTATTATCCTACTTACTAAGCTGCCTGCACCGTTGCCTAGTATCATTATCTAAAGGTAATTTGTCAATGTGATCGCCTAACAATGCTGCCCATGATTGAAGTTGATCGAGAATGGCCCATGGTGTGGTCATGGCAGCGACTAACATTACAAGCGTATGTGGGAACCTTTCTTTGTTCAGAGCAAATCTCAAAAGATTTGCATGACCCGGGTCTCCATCTAGAACCCATACAGACAGTCTTGTATGATCTACAAAGAAATAAAAAATATAAATTTTTCTCTAAAATCAAGCTGTATCATGTAATAAACTGAATAACCATTTTTATTTCATATTTACCATCTCTGTAATCATCTCTCACATCGATATATGCAAATTCTAGTCCAGAACCTTTCTTTGGATCCTCTACACCTTGTAGTTTAGCTATAAGCGTAGTTTTCCCACTCTCATTGTCACCTAAAAAGTATTCATATATCAAAATTTCATATATTTATAATAATTGATTATAGAAGAAATATTATATTTACAAAATTATTATTTTATATTGTATTTGCTAAATGTTTTTCAATTGTATGGTTTGATAAATTGGAACATAAGTTGTGTATCAATCGTCATAATTGTCGACATAATATTACACATTATAGGACTACTAATAAGCTGTATAAGCTTGTATTTTTTAGTAACAATTATGTATTATTAATCACAATAGCTCTAAATGAGAAAAATGTTAGTTGATGTTTGGCATTTTTGCTCTTTTTTATTAAATACAAACAGGAAAAGCTACATTTAAATTATCTCTGTACGTCTCTACACAACATACATATTCTGTTTCAACTGAATCATATACAATGCTACATTTCTGTATATGTGTGTGTTAAGATGTATTAAGCAATTAAAAAGCATCCATTAATATGTTGAAAGAGGTGAATTCCTTTATACAAGTTCTCTATATGTAGGAGCATCCCTGCATACAGCATATAGAGAATGTATTTTGTCGATATAACCTTTTACCCTATGAGAAAATGCTACACACAACGAAACAATTGCCATAGAGAAATTATACAAGTTCTCTATATGTAGGAGCATCCCTGCATACAGCATATAGAGAATGTATTTTGTCGATATAACCTTTTACCCTATGAGAAAATGCTACACACAACGAAACAATTGCCATAGAGAAACAGATTTGTTTCCTATAAGTGAATAGTATGGGTGTGACGACGAAGCACTTTTTTCTACCGATAGCACACGTATCGAGCAACAAGAGTAACTACTTAATATGCGTGCTACATCAAACGAGCGATCGAAGACCTATATGATGTCATCGGTATTTACCTAAAACGAGAACATTTTTGTTTGATGGCAGCTTGTTGTTGCCGCTGTTCTGCACTTCCGCGAGGATAGACGACCTGCAAAGCATACAATAACATCGAGTAAAGACACAATCGAGTGGGAACGCGTAAATTTTTCTCACGCAGCAAGATGTGTCACGCAAAGCGACAGGCATCTCATTGCAAATGATCATTTCGCGGCGCATTTCCCGATACACGGCTAATGTCACGCGAACTACGACACGTACCATAAGTTGTCCTTATTTTCGACGTCC